CGTCCATCCTCCCTGGACTGACCTATCCCCTCCCTAACTCCCCACCTACACTCACCTTTACTGGCTCCATCCCCGCCTCTTCGACCTGTCTGTTTCCTCTCCACCTATCTTCTCCTCTATCCATCTTCTATCCGCCTCCCCCTCTCTCCCTATTTATTTCAGAACCCCCTTCCCCTCCCCCATTTCTGAAGAAGGGTCTAGGTCCAAAACGTCAGCCTTCCTGCTCCTCTGATGCTGCTTGGCCTGCTGTGTTCATCCAGCTCTACACCTTGTTATCTCAGATTCTCCAGCATCTGCAGTTCCTACTATCTCTCATTGGACACTTTCTGTCGGTTTCCAAACCTCTACGTGAAATAGAGGTCAGAACTTTGTAGAAAAAGTCCTTCAGAGTGGGAGACAACCAATTCATTACCAAAGGGCAAGCTCATTATTTTTGAAGTTGGAGTGTGATTGAAAGACCTCTGAGCTTGAAAGGCACTGCAGGTGGAATATAAGAGAGAGGATATTTCAACATGGAGACAGAGACTGCCACTGTGGTTGGGTGAGGTGGTTAGCTTGGTGAGGTGCCCCTCTTCAGGGTGGCCTGAGGAAGCTCCTGCTACAACCAGAGAGGGCCTGTTGCTCTGGTTACCCACTAGATACCCAGCCTGCTACTCGGCGCTCACCCCCAGGCAGCTGACCTTCATCCCCACCCACCCCCATCTCCTGCTGTTGGGGAATCCCAGCTGATCTTCTTTTATTGATCTTAAGTGGTCCTGAGTCACTTAGATTGGTTACCAGCTCCAGGCAGACAGGAAGATTACATCACCCACTCATTCCAGGTCGGCAAAAATGGGCGAAGAGACTGGATTGAACCAAGATGCAGGTCGGTGATGCTATGTTTAATGCCTGCTCACCCATCTCAGCTCCTCTCCCCAGCAGAGACTAAAAATCCAAACCTGTAGCTCTGCCTGTTTCAAGTCCAGGTGAACATGGTTAGGCCACTAGGCTGTTCTGGGGAGCTGGTAGTAAACTTTCTGGAGCACTGAGACAAGGTTGGACGGGGCACATCAAACGGCTGGGTTATAGATAAGGCATTAGTCATGCTGAGAGTGAAATGAGTGTTAAGATAAAACAGACCTCATAAGAATCACCAAACAAATGTGCTGATTTCCAAGGGAAGAGGTAGAGAGGGTAGGGTAGTTAAAATCTCCAGGCATGTCCGTCAGTCTCATACCAAGGGTCTGTTAGGAAATTAGTGCCTCACTTACAGACCTCCTTGAATTACAGACAATGGGGGGTCCTACTGGTTTACATCATGCTCCCTGGATGGACCATCTTTGATTTGAATTAGGTCTATTGTCAAATGTACTCAAATGGGTGCAGTCAAACGTTTAGAGTCGCCGCACAGCACCATCTTAGGTACAAAGGTACCTGGGTACAGATACGTAAGATCAAATTCTTGGGAAGCAAAAGAAAATTAGACAAGTAAAGAAGTAAAAAGTTCAGAATATCAGTCTTTTTGACCCAGTCCATGCCAGCACCTATCCTCAAGGGAGACCTCCACCAGCTCGCCACTGCCTGCCCCCCAATGTCAGAACTGAAATCAGAAGTTGCTGGAAAAGCTCAGCAGGGTCTGGCAGCATCTGCGAAGGAAAAAATAGAGTTAACGTTTCGGGTCCGGTGACCCTTCCTCAGAGCAACTTCAATGTTAGAATCTGCCACTTTAGGCACCATCTCTTCGCTGCTGGGCCCACTTTGCTGACGTTGCTGAAACCAAGAGTCCCTGGCTCCACTGGCAGACCAGGCCATGACTCTCGCTCCGGCTGCGGATGTCACCTTGCTGGTGCTGCCATCTTGAAGAGTCCGCTTGTGCTGGCACCGTCCCTGATCTCTGGAGGAGCTTTGCTGCTGTTGCTACCAGGCCCCGGCACCGGGAATGCCAACCATTAATCATCCTGCTCGTGTGATCCAGCCAATGGAATCAGCGCTGATCCAGGAGAGCAAACCACACCCCCCAACACCCCACTTCACCCCACCACGTTGGGGATTCCTGTACACTGGTATCTATTGATCTGTCCTGCCAGGAGATGCCCAATATGGCAGCAAAAGCTGCTAAGGGGACTCTCTCAACTCATGAATCATCGCTGCTGTACAGGAGGGGGCTGAGAACACAGGACTGATACACACGGAGCTTCGTATTTTCAGTTAGTTTCCTGTAGGTCCATGCTCACCCTCCCAACTTTGACATTACTGTCGTGGCCTGGTCAATGCCGCTGCTGATTGATTCGAGCTAAGGGAAGCTGTCAATGGCCAACAGGGAGAGTTTGTCAATGTTAATGGAAGATGGAAGCTCAGTTGCCTGGCCCATAATCTTGATCTTCAACCCAGAAGGCCCAGAGACAACTGACCTGCAAGCTGCTGAAAATGAACTTCAGTACAGGTTGGCATCATGAGCAAGCGGC